ATTCTGGGCCACGGTGAAGTGGTTCTTCCAGTCTCCGGTGGTGCCTGGGGCCGGGCAAGATGAGGCTCAGTGGGGGCCAGGGGGGACGATGCACCAGGAGCCCCCTGGGGCCGCTCACCTTTGCGCATGAAGGGGGAGATGCCCTGGTCCATGAGGTGGGAGGGCACCATGCTGTAGTTGGTGGTGGGGTTGTCCCGCATGGTCTCGAAGGAGGTGTGTTGGGTGATGGCATCCAGCGCCGCCTCTGGCAGCTCCCGCCCCAGGAACTGGGCCACCTTGGCAATCTCCCGGCGGAGGTCCTGCGGGACACAGGCCAGCGCTCACCCCTCCTCCCACCCCCGCAGGCCCCACACCACCGTCCACCAGGGTCCCTCACCTCCTTCAAGTCCTCATAGAAGAGGTAGAGGATGGGGTGATCCTTTCTCCGCTCCCAGTAGTCCTTGACGTGGTCATACCAGGACCCATATGCCACTGCATCGGGAGAGCAGCCCAGAGTGGGGGTCAGTGGGGGAGCTGGAGGACGGATATGGGGTGATCCCTTCCCCCCTCCCTAGGGGTGCCCTGTTCCACCTCTGCCAGCCATGAACAACTCCAGGTACTGGGCCCACGTCCCAGGGTGTTGGTGCAGCTTGTTCATCAGGTCAAAGTGGTAGAAGGAGACAGCCACGTCCTTGGCGTTGCGCCCCACGTAGATCATCTGCAGAGAGCTTGGTGACACATGGGGACTTGCAAGGTCCTGGCAGGACAGGTCCCCCCCTTATCTCTGCTTTGTCCCTCCAGGCCTGTCCCGTCCCACCTGTTACCTTGCAGTGGTTTTCCCAGAAAGTTTTGGGCAAGATGTGAGCTGGAATGTGGGTCTTGATGATGCGAGGGGATGCCATGGCCTCCAGCTGCTCCGTGCCTGTAAAGATTTGCTCCAGAAGCACTCTTACTGCTGACAGCGTGCCCCCCACCCCCAAAATCAAGCCTGCCTCACATCTGGCACCCACTGTCCCCTGCAACCCCTTGCTACCCCGCTACCTGCCGGCATCTTCCCGGGAGCAGCAAATTCCAGCATGGGCACCCGGTTGACGATGGCATCCTGCTTGCATTTTTCAGGGTCGCCGCCTTTCAGGATCATGTCCACAATCTCGCTGACCCAGGTGGTGCCTGGAGAGGAGAGGTCAGGTGTCCAGCTGGCACCATTCCCACCGGAGCCCCATCTCAGGCACCAGAG